TCGGCTGTACCCGGTGCAGTATCTGTGGCAGCAGCTCTGTTTGGGGACGGTTGCCTGTGAAGTTCGTAGTCATCATCAAAATCACCCTATATCCCCAAGTGCTTGACTATGAGGTAACCTAAGGGTTTGAGTACCACTATTTTCGCTAGCCATAAACGGGAATTCCTCCTCAACAAATTTCACATCACGGGAGACAAATAACTCTCCGTTTTCAACATCTAAAACCTTCCATCCTTTCTTGCCCAAAGGATACCCCAAAAAAACACACTTACGACTCCAACTAGCAAATTTATCTCCTTTACTTCTTTGGTTATGGGCGTAACACAGGCACCTAAAATTTTTTATGTGATCATATGTGGGACGTTTATTAAAGAGAATTTCAAAGGGAGTCTTACATCCTAGCAATCTAGATGGTGTCTGATTGATTAAGTGACATGCACCCAAAATACATTCCCCCCAAAACCGGATGGGAAGATTAACCTGAAAACGCAAACTCCGTGCTGCATTCAAAATATATTGGTGTTTTCTTTCAACACGTCCATTCTGTTGTGGGGTTCCTACACATGAGGTTTCAAACAAAATACCAGTCGTACGAAAATAATCCAACAAACAATTGAATTCTGTTCCATTATCAGTACGAACTATTTTAATCTCAGAAGAGAATTGTCTTTTAACTAAAGCCACGAAATTCAAGAAAGAACACGCAACATCTGTTTTATTATCTAAAAGGTACGTCCACACACCCCTAGAAATATCATCCACTATAGTTAAAAAGTAACAAGCACCATAAGACGATGGTGTCCTGTAAGGTCCCCACAAATCTATATGAACTAGTTCAAATTTACAACTAGCCCTATTATCGCTCTTAGGAAAACTACTCTTGTGTTGCTTTGCTCGTGGACATACATCGCAACATTTATTTTGCATAAAGGAATTACTACTAACAAACGGGAGATGTTGTAAAACCTTTCCCGAGGGATGCCCAAGTCGTTGATGCCACAACTCAAAAGAATCGGTCGAAGTTGCTTTTAATTTGTGCACGGTTGGTACTCCTCGGAAATAATACAGTCCATCAACTCGATCACCCGCTCCAATCACCTTCTTCGTCGCTAGGTCCTGTATAACACATAATTTGTTAGTGAATTGCGAAGTGCAATTTGATTCATCATATAATTGGGAAGCAGAAATTAAATTGCAGTTCAATTGGGGTACGAAAAGAACGTTTGTTAAAGTTAAACCCCCTTGCAAGGTCACAGAACCAATGCATGAGGCATTTACTGACTTTCCGTCCGGGAATCCCAGCGGATAATGTGTAACGTTCTCTATATTTTCAAGTAACTCATGGTCACATGTCACATGGTTCGAAGCTCCCGTATCTATTATCCAGTCATGCTTACCATGCAGTTTACCTTTGAGCGAATGCAAGTGATCCAGAAGTTGTTGTATTTGGGCTTGTGTCACTCCCGCAAGAGCCGCACCGTCGGAGGTTGTTGCTCCCTCAGGTTGGTTGGTCCTTGATAAGGAACCACCAGTTTTGTATGCTCGGGTCGTGCCAGAACCGGACTGCCCCCTTCCACGTCCTGAAGAACGTGCTCCGCCCCGGTCGCCACGATTTGAGCCACGACCACGAGGTCTATCCCCCCACCACTCGGGGTAACCATGTAGTTCGAAGCAGCCTGACTCCACGTGACCTGTTTTGCCGCAATGGTCACAAACTTTATCGGAATTATCTTGTTTCCCCTCACGACGACGAGTATCGGAATTAATATTGAACGTTGCTGCCATGTCCTGCCTAGTGGCATCATCAGCCTTCGATTCTGTTCCAGCAATACTTTCGGCTTGTATTATTTGCTAGTAAGCTTTGTTAACACCGGGTAAGGGTTCTTGGGCTAACAATTGCCCATGGATTGATGCGAATTTATCATCCAGACCAAGCAAGAAGTGGTGCACATGGTCTTCCTCTCGCAGACGTTCCACCTGTGAGACGATGTTGCAAGTACACAAACCACACGAGCATGTTTGGACCGTGAGGTATGTGTGTAGCTCATCCCAAAATTTCGATAAGCGTCCAAAATAGGAAGCAACCGCCTCCTTCTTCTCCTGCCTGCAAGAACTCAGAGAGTTCTTTAATCGACATATTCTTGTGCCATTCACCACACAATATCTATTCTTAAGATTAAACCAAAGAAGTTGGGCATCATCATAATCTCCAATGGTAGCTCGAACCGAAGGGTCCAATGTGTTAGTTAGCCATGAAACCAACATGGAGTGCACAGTTGACCAGTCATCCAGTTTTGCAGGGTCAGATGGTCGCACCACCGAGCCATCAATAAACCCGAACTTACGCTTAGCCTTTAGTGACGTTCTCACCGCCCTCGCCCATTCATCGTAGTTTTCTCCACGAAACTGAACGAGAGTAATGACATTGCCCGGAGCATCACTAGAGCCGAGGAAGTATGTGAGATCAATCGTCGATTTTTCACCTAACCGGTGTTTGTATTGGTCATGATGATCGTAAAAAAAATCTGGTTTCTTGATCTTGATTTGTTTGTTTTTTTGTTTTTTTTTTCCATTGAATTAACCTTGGCTATGATACCATGTTAAATTAATATCAATCTATTTCCCCCTTCTCATAATGTATCAATCATACAATATTTATACACCAAGAGTCCTAGACTAAATAGGTTTTGGTAAAAGATAATACTTCATGATAATACAAAATATATCTAAGATATAACACAGTGATTATCCTTATAAAGCCCGAAAGAAAAAGGTAAGAAAATGAAAATAAGCACAAGTAAATAAATTAAAACAACAATTAAAAGATATATCGATGTAGGAGAAAAAAAAGATCTCATTGATAATCGGAAGGAATTATCATTCAACAAGAACTTCAAAATCCAAGCGAAACCCATGAATTACTTTAAGGTGGCAACAACCATGAAAAAGTTGATGAGGGATTATGGTTTCAATGTATTTATACAAAGAAAAGATTATTACAAGTCCAAGGAATATGATAGAGCCGCTAAGCGATCAAATATGGGACTAAAATGGTGTTGCTTTGAAATCGGATGATCATTTTGATAGATCAATAGCTTATGTGTTAAATGACCATCTCAATTAAAAGGTTAATCTGATGATGGTTGAGGCTTAGGAATATGTTTTATACTCTATTACGCTCCTTTACATGAGAGCATTTTGGACTTGAAATGAGAATGCAACATGGGCTTATAGAGTTCATCATCCTAGAACGATTCCTTCTTATGTCCTTTATAGAGTTACAAGAACGAGTGATGAGAATCGATCCCAAAATTCCTTGAAATCGAGAGGAAAGCTCTATCACTTGAGTCGTTCCTAACTCAACTCTCACACTGGGAGACTTCTTGTATGCTATGTATACAAGTGTTTATATTGCTTATCCTAATTAATGAGAAATCAAGCATGAAACATAAATCTTGTCAGAATACAGATTTCTTCATTTGCTTGAGTGTCTGCATCAATGCATGGTTTAAAGTTTAAAGTCTCAACTCTTTGAAGTGGGCTCCTAACACAATTAAAGAGTATTTACATAACAAATAACAAGTTGGCCTACATTCACGTGGTGTCGGTTACGTTTTCAACTGTTGGATTCAGCAACTCTATAGACAAATGGAAGTAGTATTTAATTGTAAAACATACTTAAAACATAAGTAACTTATGTAAGTTGTGTACAATCTATTAAACTCAATTAATTGCACAATTAATTTGCAATCCATATAGTAGTTTTACTAAATGCGGAGTAGTCAATGTACTACTACCTCCGTACCACTGTCTATTCCTCCAAAAATTACGAGCTAATTTCCAAATATATCACATTTTACCTCCATGTTTATATAAGTGAAACGTTTTGACTTTTTGCACTATTTATCTAATTTACTTTGACTATTGTTTATAATTTACATAAGAATAAGCATAGTTTTTTAAATACTTATTAGAATCGTTTTAATGAATAATTTATTAATGTTCATTAATTATAGTTTTTAATTATTAATTATTAATAATTAAATATAGTATCACACAGAGTTTTGCATTGACATACGCGCACAAACAAAAACGTTTCACTTATTTAAATACGGAGGAAGTAATATTTGTTTAAATCAGAATATTACTTACATTTTTATATCCCATATATAAATTATAACATAGGAAAGTGATATAGCTAACCCTTTTGTCCTGTGCATAAAGAGTTAAAAGTACAACATATAAATGTAGTACTCTCTCCGTCTCATTATATAGTTCATGTTTGTGTTTTGCCACGATATTTAAGAAATATGAGGAGAAAGTAGATGAAGTACATTAATAAAAGTGAAAAGTACAATTATAGACAACAGTTAGAGAGAGAAAGTGGAAAAAAGTACAAGACATCTGCAAAATTTAAGGGTAATGTAGGATGTAAAATGAATAAAATAAAAAAAAATGAGGGTATAATGGTTTTTACATATTATTCAAAAATGGATACAGGAACAACATTTTGGGTCTCCAAAATAAGAAAACAAGTGCTATATTATAGGACGGAGGGAGTATAACATTTATTACATGAGAGTAAGTGATAACTCAGATAGTTAGAGCTTCCCTCCTGATTTCGTGAGAATACATAAAAAAAAAAAAAAAAAAAAAAAAAAAAAAAAAAACATTTATTACACTGATTAATGCATATTTTTTATTTGAAAACTAAGAATTGAGACAAATCTAATAAGATTCCTACATTAATATGTTTTGAAGTTTTTTTTTTTTTTTTTAAGTGTTACACTTTAATTAGACATGTTTGTCAATACTCAAACTTACCATTAATATCTATAATTTTCTATAACTTAAAATAAGTTGAACCACATAAACTCTTAATCAACATTATACTCCATAAAAACATCCATACGGTGATATAGGTGAAATTGTGATTTGTATTCTATAGAATCAACAAAATACTCCATAAAATCATCCATTAAATTTCATATGGCTATATTATATCTTATAAATTAATGAAAATATATAGTCAAAGTTTGACCGACAAAAATATAAAAACAGACAGAGTAAGAGTCTTCATTTTTATTCTCCAAACAATGAAACAATAACTTTACTTCACTTAATTTCCCCAAAGTCACAAGAATTCATTTTTATTCCCCAAACAGACTTCACTTTATTTCCCCAAAGTCACAAGAAATAATCTAAAGCAAGATCTACCTCCTTTTCCCCCAAAACTAAAAAGTATTTATTCTTTGTAATAATAAAATCAGGAAAAAATAATAAAAAAAATCAAGGAAAATCTCCATTAATTTCCTTTATCTCTTTCCTCTACCAACTGCTACACAGAGCTCACACCTCACTGGTACACCACTACCTAGGAGTAAGAGCTCACTCCCTCCAATTCCACCTACCTCAATTCATCTCAATCCCTTCAAATTTTCCAACAAATTCCCACCATTTTCAATGGCAATGTCATTTACAATGGGTCTAAACTTCCTTCTCTTAGTAGCAATGGTTGCTACAAACATTCTCTCACTTTACCACCTTTCTTCCACTACCTCTTTCCTCCGCCCTAAACCACCTTCCCCCACCACCACCGCCGTCCCCCAACACCTTCTTCGTCAACTCCAAACCATACGCGCCACCATTACCCACCTCACGCGCCTCCACCCTGATAAAACCTCGGCTTCGGCTTCGACCAACCCCACCAAAACCCCACCTTCAGATCTCCTCATTTTCAGCAATCTTGCTCCTATTGCTTCCTCTTGTCATGATTTTCCTGATCTTCTTCATCAATACATGAATTACACCCCTTTTTCTACTTGTCCTAAAGATAATAATCTTGCTGAATCTTTGATTTTAAGAGGTTGCCATCCACTTCCTCGGAGGAGGTGCTTTTCTAGGACTCCATCGAATCCGAGGTTGTCGAATCCTGATTCGAATGTGATCTGGGGTTCGTACCCTTCTGCTACTTGTAAAAGTTTCAAGTGCTTAAACCCTAAATTGGGTTTTGACCCAAATCTTGATTCAACCCAATTTTTGTCTTATAAAACTGATCTTGATCTTACAATTCCACAGCTTATCGATATTGCTAAAAGGGCTAATTCTGTGATTAGATTAGGGGTTGATGTTGGGGGTGGAACAGGAACTTTCGCGGCAAAAATGAAAGAGAGGAATGTTACTATTTTGACTACAACAATGAATTTGGGTGCTCCTTATAGTGAGTTTAATGCTATTAGAGGGGTGGTGCCATTGCACGCGCCACTCCAGCAACGATTACCGGTTTTCGATGGGGTTATCGACTTGGTTCGATGTGGGCACGCCGTGAATAGGTGGATTCCGACTACGGCGATGGAGTTTCTATTGTTTGATGTTGATAGAGTGTTGAGGGGTGGTGGGTATTTGTGGGTTGATCATTTCTTCTGTAAAGGGGGTGATTTGGAGAAGGTTTATAAGCCATTGATTAATAAATTAGGGTATAAGATTGTGAAATGGGCAACTGGGAGTAAGATGGATTCAAGTGGTGTGAAGAATGGAGAGGTTTATTTGACGGCTCTTTTGCAGAAACCCAAGTTAAGATGATTAGGATGAAGCTGAATTCCTTTCTTACATACTTTCTTATACTTCGTATAACAGGTGAGAAAAAATTTCTCTTTTCTTTTGTCTAAAATGTTTTCTTAGTTCATGATATTTGCTTTTGTTTGTGTGCTTTTTGTTAGGAGTGGAATGATAATGCTAATTTCTGTTTGAAATATTGGTGCAATTATTTGTGGTCAACTCTAATGATGAGGTTTTTAGCTTAGGGTACTGCTTTTAGTATAACTTTCACTTAAATGATCTTGTTACTTTTATAATGTATATGTTGATGACGACGACAACAACTTTTTATGGATTTCGTGTAAGCGGATAATTTTGTGGCCTGTAAATTTATCCTTGATTTTCCAAGAGGCTCTTTACTTCAGAGATTTGTGCTTGTTTTGACGATTATGGTGCCACTTTTAATGTAACACTTACTTGAATGTTCTTGTTACTTTATATGTTTGACTATTTGCAATTAGGCATAGCTTGGACTATAAACTTAAAAATGGCTTTTTTTTTTACAGTTGATTTGCACTTGAACTAATCCAAGGTTGATGGAAAGTCTTTTATGATTGACCTCTGAATGTGGGAATGCAATGGCTTGCCTTTATTTTTTTAGCTAAGTGTGGAGTGTGTGAGTACATCTCTTTAAGGTGATTCTGCATGAAGTTGAGGTTTATTAATTACGCAATAAGTGTAGAGCAGTGTTAGTACTTGTTCTAGGAATGCCAAAGTTGGTTGTTCATAATTTAAGAAGTTTTAAAGTTAGATAAAAAAAAAATTGTTTCCTGAAGGAACTTTAGATTACATGAGCATAAATAAAATTCAGGATCTTAATTTGTACTCTAAAGTTGTTGCTCCCTTAGTTAATGATGATGTAGAAACCCCAAGACATACATTATTGTCACTATATTGGCGCAAATGTCATGGTTGTCTTGTTGAAAGATTAAGGGCTTATCAGAAGATAGGTAGTGAAAATCTCTCTATACTTTATAAGCTTAAGTAAAGAAATCTTGCTGTGGTGGAAGTGTGGTAGCTCAATTGATACATTGGTAGTAACGGAGCTTGGTTTGTAGAGTGTTACAGCTTATAGGAGAATAAGCACAATTTGGAGTGCTTCCTGCTTGGCCAGTAGTCACCTGAATATTTTATTTTATAAAGGCAATATATAATTACATATGATGATTTGAATGTTAAGGGAAGCCATTCTGTATCATAGGGGAGAGCTGGGAGTTCAAATTTTGATAGAATTTTCAATCATTGCGTTGATAGTATATATCCGTGTAACACAGAGGAGCCCTTTTTAACGCAGATTCAGATGGTATAGCATTGTTGGCATTTATGTTTCTTGTATTCATTCTACCCCCCCCCCCCCCCCCCACAAAGAAAAAAAGAAAGCTACGATTAAGATGAAAATAGAGATGACAAAGATCTCAAAGTATGCATTAAAGATGGGAAAGGCTTTATTGGAAATTTTCCGGGTTATTGAATTGATGAATTCCTAGTGGAGAATAAGCCTACAAGGTTGGAGACCCCCTTGGACATTTTCATTGTTGAAATTATAAATTTGTGTGTTCCTAGAATTCTCTCCTCTTTTCCCTGAACCAGTTTGATCTTCTGACTGCTAACTTCTGTTATTGAGTTAATAGACTTGGATTTAAATACATTGCTGCTCTTTTCCTAACCTGAGATGTGGTCTTGTGTAGGTGTATCAATTGTAGAATATTCAGTCTTACACGGGTCCTCTGAAGAAGTGTTGTTGCTCAAGTCAACTTGGACATCGACTGTTATAGCTTCTTGCAATTGTGCTGCAAACTATTGTCCCAAGGGAGCATCCAGGATGTTTATTCTTTTTACTTTTTTTTGTTTTTTTTTTTTTTGCTCGGAATTAAATTAGGGCATTCCTGTTAAGCTTAGAAATAAATAGTGTGTTCTGTAGTAGAGCATCATTTTTTCATAATTTATGTAATGAAAAATAAGCCTGACGAACTTAGAAAGAGTTAGTATGGTTTTGGAGATAGCAGGGCCGAAAAAAGGTAGTACCATGTTGAAAGGCTGATATCATATAGTGAATTTGCTTCATGAGTTGATTTTTCTGGTTTGATTACTACATTGTTAACTGTACAAAGTGATATAATGTAATAAACATCAGTTCAGAATTCCTCCCATTCAATTTATTGATATCATTCCTAAAAAACAAAACAACTAAATAAATGATCCTCACTTTGAAAATGTAGTCTAGACGACAAAATTGATTATGAGCCTTAGCTGAATGGAATTATTAAAAATCTAATCTTTGGTGCTCATAGATTTGAGCATTTGACATAATTTCAATGTATGTCTTTTCCTTATAAAAAAAATAAAATAAAATGAAAATAATAATAATAATATTCCATGTATGTCTTGCAAATAATTTATTTATTTATATATATTTTCACTTTAGTGCATTGTGGTTTTATAATTCAATTTTAGTGCCCTCATAATTGACTCAATTTTCGCTATGGTAAAACACCTCCGCTCAAAAAAAAAAAAAAAAACCCTCCGCTTAACTGTAACTCCCAAAAAAATCATACAGAAATCTTGCATGCACAATACATTTAAAAGGTCTATACAAAATTACAAACCAAAATATGGATTTAACTTGTGGTATATCAAATTCATGAACTCATCCTGTAACGAGCTAAATTGCACAACAAAATCATATGAAAATTTTACATTCAAATTTTTTTTTTGAAGGGCCTATAAAAACAAAATGATAGGTTTAGTACCTGGTATATCAAAATCGTATTGAGGTTACAAGGAAGGTAAATTGTTCATCATTTATATTGGCACATATCTTTGTGAACTTTCAACTGGTGTTTTCTACAGAAAAAAAGAGCATACATCTTACTAGCTAACCAGATGCCCATGCTTTCTCAAATTTATTAAGGAATTAAAGGCGGTTGACCAGCATTTACTTAGGCTTAATCCTTAGAAGGTGTGCAAGGTTAAGAGTGTCAATCTTTGCAGCAAGTATGAAGTCGTTTTCTGTAAGCCCTCCTGCACATTGTAGTTAAACCTTAGTTAAATATGCAAATTGCATGTTTCCATATTGAAATAAAGCCAAAAGCTAACAATGTGCTCTACTTGGGGAGAACAAGCTTTATAAAGCAAAGATCCTCAAGAAAGTCGGAAAGCTTCATAATGTATTTTGAGACCTACAAAAGCCTTGTTTCATCAAGTGTGTTTCACTTGTGGTGTTAAACAGCTGATAACATGTTAATTTTCTTGTTGTTCTTGGCTAAATTTATAGGGAAATTTGTTTCCAGGTTTTAATAGCAGTCAATTCTGGGGGTTTGTATAGAAGGAAGAAAAGCAAATACATAAACTAATGTCCCAAATTTTTAGAAAAGAAAAGATGATGATAAACGGAAGCAGAACATGATTTCCAAAATCAACAGCGCCATCCTTTATAATAGAATCAACATAGAAGCTAAGATGTTTACAGAAGCCAAACTAGGCCCTACATCTGTATGGCTGGTTGTATCAGATCCGAGAACATATATTTTCCTGCTGAGGACAGTATTCTCAAGTTGCCATATTCAAAGTAAACAACAGTATAGCTAAAACTTCCCTTCAACATATTTATATTCTAAAGTCTAAATGAACATAATTCCCTTTCCTTGTAAGTACCAATAGTCCAATACCATCACCCAGATATGAATATTTCTCATTTTAAGGAAAATATATAAACATTAAATATTACTAATTTCATGTATGATAGTTTCAAGGGTTCTTGTCATCAGATAACCAAGCATCTTAGCTCTCGAATCAAAGAGCCCTAACTAAATACAACTATCACTCTTCGTATAATATAATTTGAGTTCTATACAAAAAATAGGCTAATAACTTCTCAGAAATGATATATAAAACTGCAGAAGATCCAAATATTTTTCTACACTAGAAGCTTCTCTCTAATGTTGATGTTCCATAGTCTCAAATTCATAGTGTGTGCATATATTCTTCTACTTGCTAAGTGTTTTTTTATTTATTTATTTATTATTTTTTATATTTGTTTTATTAATCTCAAACCGAACTTAACATAGGCATTGTCTCAAAATTACTTAAGATGTGAGATAGAAACAACAGGTCTCCAAGAAAAAATTTAAACCTAGCCTCCTCATGCTCCCTTCTCCTAAGCCATCCACATACCTAATTGCCATTTTGCTAGTTGGGTCCCTTTATTTTTCTAGATTTTCAAGAGGAAATAACGTGGGAAAAAAAAAAAAAAAAAAAATTGAATTCAGATTTTGAACAAAGCATTTTTTGATGGTAAGAAAAACCAACAATGTGCTCATTTATGCAGTCAGAAAATTAAACAGCAGGACAACCAAAAAAAATATAGCATAGAGCAGAAAGTAAGCCTTTAAAGTAAATCAGATAGTCATATCTCATATGTACTTCCTCCGTTTCTATTTACTTGACTAACATTCCTAAAATGAAAATGTCATATTACTTGACCCATACTATATGTGGTAAGCTTTTGGTGGATAAATTCTCTAAATTGCCCTCAAAAAGTGCACATGGGGGCAACTTTTGGGGTAATAAGATAAACCAACACAAAACTACTATTTCTCTCTCTTTTCCTTAAAGATTGTGCCCAAGGCTATGGGTCAAGTAAATAGAAACGGAGGAAGTATAAGCTTTTCCAACACTTACCGACAGAATGTGTCCAAATTTCAACTGTCACATTGTTCCAACCCACAAGATGCAAATCTGGATGGTGACCTGTTGAGTTTGGAAAAAAAAAAGAGAGAAAAAAATTTTATAAACATGGTGCATTGTCTCTAGCTACATAATTGAGGTTCACACCGGAATCCATTTGTCTCCAGGTTGTAGTACAAGATCTGATTACTTTACAGCACAAGATACTAACAAAAATGGCTTTACCTTCTGCTTCAGCAACATTAGCAATAGCCTGAAAGAACTCCAGTCCTTTAGTAAAAGTCTTCACCTTCCAAGATCTTGCCAGCTTTAGTTTACCTCCTCCATTGCTCAGATTCCAATCAGGAACCTTGATAAACAACAAACGTGTAAGATGCATTACTAATGTCAGGGTGGTTTTAGTAAAGACAAAAGTACAGAAGGAAGTAAACAAACGGAATTACTTGCTTGTCTTTGTAATATAGATTCATGTCATATGCATGTAATTTTAAAACATGAGATTTCTGCCTTTGACTTGAACATACATGAAAGAATAACAAGTACAAACCTTGGTAATCAATTGATTTGCTAAATCTTCATTCATAGGTCGCATATCTTTCGAGTTACAAGGCACACATTTCTTCGAGCCCAGGTCTGTGCAAGCCAACAAAGTTGTAAAAAAGGAAGGACCAAACATTAAACGATTTTTTTTAAGCAAGTAACATGAATACTTCAAATCAGTTAAATGGATGCTGAAACCTTTCCCCTAAAAGACTGGGGGAGAACCTTCCGCTTTAGCAAAAAGACTATGGAGTTCATGAAACATATACTACCTCTGTTTCATATTAGATGCAACTTTTGGGTATTATTTGTAAGACATAAAAAATTCCAAAGTTGCATCTAATATGAAACGGAGGTAGTATATACTAATATGTCCCAAAGAAAGTCTATATAGCACATGACACCCTCCTCTCATGCAAAGGATTTATTTTTATGTTAACCCATCAATTAAAAACTAAATATTGTAGGTACAAGTTATCGAACATGTGACCTTTGAAATGGAAAGTGAACTTTACCACCAACACAATCATTGTTTAAGTTTCAAAACAAAAGAAAATGTCTTTTCTATAAATGATCTAGACATGTAACTAGACCTCCAACAGTTTTATAGTTATAACAAGTGACCTGGGGCAACAGTTTTATAGTTTAAATAGTGTCAAGTGTCAAAATCCAACCATTTCCTAGTAATATGTCATTATATAGGCAAGCAGTAAAGACTGGACGCACCTGGGGCAGTACAGAAGGTTCTAAATTCATGATGGCTCTTTCTAGATTTCAACAGTTCCACATGGTTCTCTAATTTTCCGTTGATTGGGGAGCTTGAGCTGTAATTAGATAGAAAATGCTACTCACACCATGCCTTCATAGGTAGGATGATATATCAGTTTGTGTGTGCATGCATGTGAATACATCAACCGAAAAAAATTTATTGTTAATTTAGGTGTGACTAATTTCGGAATGAGAATTTATTACAGGGAACTCCAATAATCGCCATCATTATCTAACTCTCATCATAAGCCATAAATTCACATTTAAAAGAAAACTGAAGTCCAGCAGTTTTTATTTTTTTTTATTTTTTGAATTAAAGTCCAGCAGTTGTCAAGACATACAGTAGAGATTTTAGGTCTGTAAAAAAGATATAGACGTACATGTAGCCACAGTAAAAATATGGCTAGATGATGTCTTCTGCAAAGGAAATGCCCTCTTCCCCCAAGCAAGGAAAAGCACCTACAACTAACAGAATGAGGAGTGATTCCTCAAGTCGGTCAGCCTAACTAAGCTTTAAATTAAAGAAGCTTGATACTTGATTTATCATACGGATCACAAATGGAAGCTGATGACAATATTCAACAAATAGACCTCAATCCTCTACAGATATAACCTCGACGTAATGACACTAACTAATTATCTAATAATCACATCCATCACAAAAGTTGTTTGTAAACAATGTCTCAAAGCTCCCAATTATTGTTGTTATTGCTCTTTATTGGATATCCATAATGCCACCAAAAAAAGGCTTGGATGACAATCAACTAAAGGAAAAAGTACAAATTCATTATTTATGTATGGTACTTCTTATGGAATACAAAACAAATAAAAATAATCAATATGTTCTTCTAGCAGACACATATTAACTATATAAAATTTTATCCTCAAAGCATAATAGAACAATGGCATTAATATCCTCCATCTAACAATAGTTGATGAAGGATATGATGTTGTTTACTTCAATACGTAATACAAAAAATAGAGCTATCTCAAAACAAAAAACAATCAATGAGATAAAACTCATAAAAGACCACTGTCATCAAGGAAAAACTCATAAAAGACCACCGTCATAAGGAAAAAAAAAAAAAAAAACCAAAAAAACAAACATTAAACCTATAACATTTCATCTAACGAAAATATGAAAGAGAAGCTTATTTGCAA